TTTCCGGCCATAACTCCTTCTCCCGACCTCCAAATCACAAACCGCGAACGCCCCCACGCTCCTGACGTCGAGGAGCATATTCCCCAAAGGTTTGGGCTGGTTTGGCCGAGGTTGGGTCGCCGGCGGTGAGTTTTCCGGCGAGTGTCCGGTGTGTTTTCCGGCGACTTTGGGTGCCTTTTTCCACTTTCTTCACCTCTCTCGTGGTCTCTCCTTGCGTCTCCAGGTGTGTTATCCTCGTCTTTTCTTATTTATGGAGAATCGATACCTAGAGTTAGGTGAAGAACTTCTGATTGTGGAATGGTTTGGGGATATTTGGGTTTGGGGGATGATTGGGATGATTGCATGTTGCATTGTATGCGGGCTAGTGTGGTTTTTGTGTGGTGGATCGATTGGTGCTTATTTCGTACGGGTTTGGGTATGCTTGTTTCACCGGGGGCCTAGTACACTGTCCGAATCGCTCAATTTGAGGGTCACCGGTGTATTTTGCTGTGTAAATCTCGTATGATGAGTATGCTTGTTTCGCCGAGAGTCTAGTCCACTGTCCATATCTTTCGATATGAGGGCTCCCAGTGTGGGTTTGGCCTAACATTGGCCCCGTTTTCTTGTGTACACTTTGTCCTTCATTGTGTTTTGCAGGATCATGGAGGTTTTTCTCGACCAGATGAGCATCACCCAGCGTCATAAGCTGCGGAACCTCCGTAACCGCACCATCGCCGAGCACCTGTACCTCGATTGGGAGGTGTTCGAGGAGCTTCATGCCAGGCCACAGATGGAGGCCGTGGTCCGCTCCTATGGTTGGCGGCGTCTTCTCACCCTCACCGAGCCGACCTACCAGGAGCTAGTCTGGGAGTTCTACGCCACCTTCCACCACAACTCGAAGGGGAACTCCGACCATGCTGATGTAGTTCAGTTCACCCTCGGCGGGGTGGAGCACTCCCTCAGTTACTGGGAGTTCGCCAATGCACTTCGTCTCAATTCCCGGGAAGCAGGCGGGCCGCCCCTACGCTTGGACCTCTCCGATCCCACCGACTTCGCTTCCCAGGCGTACTTTCAGAGCATTTGCTTGCCGAACAGTGTGGATGAAGAGTACGTGGCCAGCTAGACGCGGGCTGCTCTCCTCCGCCCGGAGTGGCGAATCCTCAACCACATGATGTGCACGTCTTACACGCCCAGCAAGGGCTCGGCCAACCGGGTCACACTCCGGACACTCTGGTTTATGCATGCGATGGGTCGTTCTGAGGACACCATCCAGCTAGGCTCTGTGCTCGCCTGGACATTCACTAAAGCAGCCAGCAGCACGACTCGCAGCCTTGTATGTGGCCCGGTGATCACCGCCTTGGCCCGCAACTACAGGGTGGACTACACGGGAATGACATTGGTCCGCGAGCCAACCCCACTCAGCGAGGCTACTCTCCGCCACCAGCACTTGGTTGCTCGCTACGGGCGTGTGCGCTGGATCGCAGGCCTTCCTCAGCCACCTCTACCTACAGCAGGCGACCAGGCCGAGTCGAGCGCCGCTGGTGGGCGCCGAGTTCCCCGTCGCGCTCCCCGTCGTGACCAGGCTCCCGCGAGCCCCTCTCCTGCTCCCCGGTCTCCATCTCCAGGGTCACCTCCTCCAGTGGTGGTGCCCATCTCCGACCAGTTGGCGGCGATCGCTCAGCAGAATGAGGGCATCCTGGCCGGCCGGGAGCGCATCCACACCCGCCTTGATCGTGAGCGGGACCGAGGGCGTCGTCTCATGTCCTGGCAGCACTACATCATGTCTTACTTGGGCTTGGACCCGAACGCGGTCCACTACCCGTTCGAGCAGTCCCCAGGGTTTGAGGATGAGTACCCTCCACCCACCGGCGATGGTGGTGATGCCTTCTAGAGCGGGTTCTGTGCTTTATTTGTGTTCCAGACTGAGACTCCGTGTTTTGTGGTTTTGTTTTGTTTTGTTTTGTTTATCTTGGATTGTAGACTTGGTACTCTGCTTTCTATCACCCAGTGTGTGTGTTTTTGTTGTCTCTAGCTCTGTGCCTCCTTCTCTTGACTGGTCCGCCATCCAGTCAATGTTCCTGACCACTGTTTCACGGTAACATCGTTCCCCTTCCCTCTGCTCCATTGAGGACATTGTCACGTTTAAGTGTGGGGGGGGGGGGGTTCTTTGTATGAATTGGAACGTATATATGTGTGTTTGGAGCCTAGTCCACTGTCCAAATCTCGAGATTTGAGGGCTCCAAGCACGACTGTTTGCTTGATGATTGATCGGATTGGCACTGTGGATGTGATTAGTGAATTGAATAGCTTTTGACTTGATACATGACAACTTGAGTGTGACTTAGACAACTTATTGTGATGACTGAGATGTGCAGTAGAATTGTGTTGGGGTTCAGTTTTTCAACTTCTGCTCACCAAATGTGACTTGGTTTGATCACTTGCTTTTGACAGTCATTTATGCATCTAGTTCAGGGAATCAGAACGAGAGATAGAGCATATAGGTAGCCATGTGAGATTTGAGCCTGCTCGTTTCTTTCTTGTGCGATAGTTTCCTCTTCCTTGATGTGCAACATTCACGTTGTCATTAGCTAAGATGATGGAGGCATAGGGTTAGCCCACGACCAAATTGACCGTCCTGGTGTGTCATACCCCTAGTCAGCCCCTTTGAGCCGTGTGTTTTCCTTTCTTTCGGTCTTCAATGAAAAGTCACCCGTTTGCATCTTTTAGAAGGTTCCACAGAGTGAATTTTACATGTTCTCTGCTGTTTCTGCTAAATGTAATGTGAGGGTTGGAGGTAGTGCTTAAAAGTTGGGCAGGTGTTTGAAATTGTGCAGAGGTGGTGGTTCTCTTAAGAAATGAAAAATAATGAAAGAAAAACAAAGAAAAAAATGAAAGCAAAAGAGAACCACCACCAAAAATCTGAGTAATGCCCATTTAGTAGTGTTTCTTAGCAGTCTGGCTTAGAAATACTAGCATTTATGTAACCTCCTTCGCTCTTGTGCTTTGAATTTGAGTAATGCAGAATAGCAGAACGAAAGTTTTTGGTTTGATTGACTGCGAGTCTGTTGGGTTTGGAAATGTGGAACCTTGTGCTGTATGAATACTTCCACCACCTAAAAGGCCTTTTCCCCATGTCCAAGACCCTAGCCAGTCATCTGAACCTGTGTCTAAGACATCCGGATTAGTTAGTGGTGACACCCCATATGTGAAATCTAGCACTTAGAGGCTGCATTCATGATGAAGAGATGTTAGGGATTGAGAGATTAAGCATGCGCATTTTTCGCATCAGATTGTCCTGACCCCACTGGTCGAGAGTGAGCGTTTCATTTTCTCTTATTTTCTATACTCTTTATCCCGGTGAGGACCTAGATTGCTCGGTCTTAATTCCGATATCTTGAGCTTTGTGCATGAAGTGACTGTTTTGAATAAGTGGTCGAGTCAAGTCTATGTTGGTTGGTGAACAGAAGGGAGACTCTTCCTTTGCTCGACTTTACTGCATTCGAATGTCATCTGTGGTGGTTGTCTAGGTTGTCATTGAGGTTGTCCATGTGTTACTGATCGAAAGCCATTATGATCCACGTGTTTTGTGCCGATATGACATGCCCTGTTTTGAGATTACCTTGTGTCTGACTTGGTTTGCTTGGGGATAAGCAAACGGTTAAGTGTGGGGGAATTTGATAATGATGTAATTGCACATATTTGCGCCCCTAGTTCTTATCCGTTTGAGGGGCATAGTCGTGTATTTTTGGCCTATTTTACGCCGGGTTGTGCTATTTTGTCATATTTCAGGTCCCAGGCGTCAAAGGAAAGGCTAAGCACGAGTTTCGGGGCATTCAGAAGTCATTCGGTGAAGCTGGAGCCAAAACACGGGCACACCTAAAGCAGAACACGACCGTGTTCCTAGGCCGTGCTTTTACTGCCGAGAGCTAATCAGAGTTTAAAAATGCACGAGCTCAAAAAGCACGCCCGTGTTTTCCCGAACAGTCTGGCCGTGTAATTAACCCTTGGCAAAACACGAGCGGGCTGAGGCAGAACACGGCCGTGTCCTCGACCGTGTTTTGCCCAGTGATGCCCTTTTAAGCATATTTCAGCCAAAAGAGAAGGGGATTCGAGTTTTAGAGAGACAGAGCGATTCCTAGAGAGAGAAAGCGACGAACAAGAGTCTCCAAGTGCCCTAGCTTGATCTTCATCACCATTGGAGGCCAGCTTGAGCTTGGAGAAGTGCCGATCAACGTCCAGGAGCAGGAATCCATCCTTCACAGTATGAATTCCGCGTCTGATTCTGCTTTTGCCTCTTTCTCCATGGAGTAGTTCTCCCATTCATCTGGGTATGGAGAACCCTAGATTTGTATGTTAGGTTTGATTGTATGAACCCAAGTACTGATTCTATGATTTGATTATATTCAATTGAGGTTTGAATGATTGAATGGCATGAATCCTGATCAAATTCCTGTTGTTTCTGCTTTAACCTAGAATGAGAATATCTGTCTAGGTTGATAGAGCATCCTTGATTGAAGGTAGGGAGTTGGTGACTTTAGTCGAGGAGCCAACTCACTATTCTGTACCGAATTTACTTCGGTAGTGGAGGTTTTGTTGTTAGGGCCTCAATCTGTTTACTTCGGTGGAGGTTAGTTGCCCGCTAGAGACTCAGATTGAGAGGGTCTGAAGACCTTTAGTCGAGACTTCAGGCTGTTTAAGAACCTTCTGCAGTATAACTATCATAGAAACTGAACTTGGTAATTGCAATCCGGCTTAACTGCAGTCTAGGGGGAACCATATCCAGGTGACCTCTCTTAACCTGAATACAACCGTTTACTTGCTTTGTTTGTTTGTTAGTTTAGACTTACTGACTCGACTCTACTGTCACTCCAGAAATTGACCAAGTGAAACCACTTCCTAAAGCGTAGTATAGCGGGTTAGGTTTATATGTCAACCCGGGTCCTAGATCTGATGACTACTCAGTGAATTCTTGTTATCTAGCAATGAAACTGGAATGCAAGTCTAAACTATCAAACAAACAAAGCAAGTAAACTGTTGTATTCAGGTTAAAGAGGTCACCCGGATATGGTTCCCCCTAGACTGCAGTTAAGCCGGATTGCAATTACCAAGTTCTGTTTCTATGAAAGTTATACTGCGGAAGGTTCTTAAACAGCCTGAAGTCTCGACTAAAGGTCTTCAGACCCTCTCAATCTGAATCTCTAGCGGGCGACTAACCTCCACCGGAGTAGACAGATTGAGGCCCTAAGAACAAAACCTCCACTACCGGAGTAAATCCGATACAGAATAGTGAGTTGGTTCCTCGACTAAAGTAACCAACTCCCTACCTTCAATCAAGGATACTCTAGTAACCTAGTCAGATATTCTCATTCTAGGTTAAAGCAGAAACAACAGGAATTTGATCAGGATTCAAGTCATTCAATCATTAAAACCTCAATCGAATATAATCAATCACAGAATCAGTACTTGGGTTCATACAATCAAAGCCTAACATACAAATCTAGGGTTCTCCATACCCAGATGAATGGGAGAACTACTCCATGGAGAAGAAAGCAAAAGCAGAATCAGACACGGAATTCATACTGTGAAGGATGGATTCTTGCTCCTGGATGTTGATCGGCACTTCTCCAAGCTCAAACTGGCCTCCAATGGTGATTAAGATCAAGCTAGGGCACTTGGAGACTCTTGTTCGTCGCTTTCTCTCTCTAGGAATCGTTGTCTCTCTCAAAAACTCGAATCCCCTTGAATTGTGGCTGAAACTCTGCTTAAAAGCATCAGTGGCCAAAGCACGGTCGAGGACACGGCCGTGCTTTGCCTGAGCCTGCCCGTGTTTCGGCCAGTGTTTAATTACACGGCCAGTAGCTGTTGGAAAACACGGCCGTGCTTCGCGATGTACACGGCCGTGCTTTGACTGAACACGGCCGTGCTTCGGTGCCCGGGTTTGCAGCTGAATTGGCCAAACTGAATTTGCTCTCGGCATAAAAAGCAAGGCCAGCAGTACACGGCCGTGTAATGCCTTGGGTCTGCCCGTGTTTTGGCTCCAGCTCACCGAAATGACTTCCGAATGCCCCGAAACTTGCGGTTAACCTTCCCTTTAACGCCTGGGACCTGAAACATGACAAAATAGCACAACCCGGCGTAAAATAGGCCAAAACACACGACTATGCCCCTCAAATGGATAAGAACTAGGGTCGCAAATATGTGCAATTACATCGTTATCAAACTCCCCCACACTTAACCGTTTGCTTGTCCCCAAGGAAACCTAACTCAAACCAATGCAACTCTCCAGACCTCTATAGCAACAAACAACCCAGATCGTAAGTAGAGGACTTCCTAGATCGTTTAGCAACTTACGAGATCAACCGACGCACAAGTCATCTCAAAGCTTCTTATCGAGTCGGCATCATGGCAAAAAGTGAACAGAGGACAAATGAATTGTGGATGAAGAGATTCTCAAAAACAAAGGATCATGGACTCACATTTTTCAAGGTGCTCTATTTTCTTTGAAGATGGTTGGAACCCCTTTTTTCTGTTTTGCTTGTTTTCTGTTATTTTTTTTTCTTCTTCTTTTCAAGGGTCCCAACCTGCTCTTACCGGCCATGCCAGGAGCGGATGTCTCAAGTCTCGTGCGGGGGAAAGACATGTAAGGGGGCTGGAGGTAGTAGGTGGACATTGGGAACGGATTCCCGTCTCCCCTTACATACTTTCGCCCTATTCGCACGGGAGACGTTATTTTGAAGCACATTTTCGAGCACCTGTTAAACTCAAAACATGATACAAGAGTCCATGACAGGTAGAGAATCCACAACACCACACAATTCAAGGGTCCTAAGATCACTAATTCACTCAATCAACCAACACAATATGAAGAAGAAATGAGACTTCTTAAATGCATCAACATCCTCCATAGTGCTACACTACCTCCCTAGGTTGCATATTACTATAAAGACTGTCAATTCAAAGCATACTGAGCAGGCAATTGCATGGAAACACGTACTTGGAGCCCTCAAATTTAAAAATTTGGACAGTGGACTAGGCTCCAAGCACACAAACAGATCTAATGCAGTCAAAAGATAAACATCCCCCCACACTTAAGATCGACATTGCCCTCAATGGAGAAGAGGGAAGGAAAAGGGGAACGTTGTTACCGGTATGCACGGACTGCAGAGGACTGGAAACGGGCCAGTCGGGGCAAGCACAGCCAAAGAGGAACAGAAGAGCTCAAACACAATATGTTAGGTTCAATGGTCAGCCCAATAAAATATCATCCAAACCAAAAGAAAACAAACCAAACCCACACCGGGTTACAATCCGACTCAAAACACAAGAAAGAAAATCAAACCGTGGTGGGGTTGCCTCCCCACAAGCGCTTCTTTACCGTCGTATTAGCTGGACGCCCATGGTGGATACTCAGGGCGGTGCAGGAACAGGTGCCTCCAAGAGCGGATCCACGTCGCTCTTGAGGTACAGCTTCAGGTTGTGGCCCTGCACCCGACGGATGCGACCACCATCATCAGTCAGCTCGACCTGCCCATCTGGCAAGATGCAGGCGAGTGAGTACCCGGACGGCCAGGGTGGTCGTGGTGCAGGAGGTGGGACCAGCTCATAGTGGTCTCCACTCTTCTTCCGTGCAGGCTTAGCAACCTGCTGCTTCGGCCGCCACTCCTCCTTGAGCTTTTTGCTTGGAGGCGAGGCTGGATGGAGTGGCGGCGAAGGACTGATAGGAGGGTCCTGCAAAATGAGAGGAGCAGCAGGATACACGATAGGCTCGTGTACCTGATCAGACATAGCATGCACAGGCGTGACATCAATCATAGCACAGTGATCAAACTCAGTCACAGAAAAAGTAGCCTGTTCATTCCCAGCACGCAAGATCAGTTTACCATCATGCACATCAATAAGTGCCTTGGCGGTGGCAAGAAATGGCCTACCTAGAATCAAAGGTACATCCACATCCTCATGTATATCAAGAATAACAAAATCAACAGGATATGTGAATGCACCGACACTGACAAGCAGATCCTCTATGATTCCCCTAGGATGCACGATAGAACGATCAGCCAGCTGAATGCTCATCCTAGTAGGGCTAAGTTCACCTAGGTCTAGCATTTTATACAACTTATATGGCATGACGTTTATGCTAGCGCCTAGGTCCGCCAAGGACTTGCCTACATGCATGCTGCCAATAGTAAGAGGGATAGTAAAACTCCCTGGATCCTTGCGCTTCTCGGGAAGCTTGTTCTGCAGGATAGCAGAACACTCCTCACTGAGCATCACTGTCGAAAGATCCCCAAGTTTCTTCTTGTTGGTGCAAATATCTTTCATGAACTTGGCATACTTGGGCATCTTCGATAATGCCTCCATGAACGGTATGTTGATGTTGAGCTGCTTCAACATTGCCATGAACTTGGCAAACTCAGTCTCCAGCTTGTCTTTGTGTAGGCGAGTGGGGAAGGGAAGCTGGGGTACATGCTCCTTAACCACTGGTTGTGGCTTGGGAGCAGAGGCTTCCTTCTCCACCCGCACTTCTGCATCGTCGGCTGGAAGTGCTGAAGCAGGCAGTGGTTCCTCCTGTCTGGCCGGGACAGGATCAGCAGATATGGTCTTACCGCTCCTGGTAAAAATGGCATCCAGCTGCTGATGCTGGTGAGGATCTCGAGGATTCGGAACAGTGGTGGCAGGTAGAGTCCCCGGTGCCCTGGTAGTGTTTTGGCGGGCCAAGATGCCCACCTGGGTCTGCAGATCCTGCAAAATGGCACCCTGGTTCCGCTGACCTGCCTCCAGTGATGTGATAGCAGCCTGGGTGCTAGTCATGAATGAAGCTAGAATGTTTTCCAGCTTCGTCATCCTATCATCTGGGGCCGGAGCTGCTGCTGGCTCGGCAAACTGGCGCTGGGGCTGCTGGAATGGCTGCCCCTGTCTGGGCTGGTAGGGCTGCTACTGTGAGTCTGGCCCCATGCGAGCCTGGAAGGGCTGCCTCTGCTGAAAACCACCTGCTGGTGCTGGGAAACCAGGTGGTTTAGTGGTGTTGCTGCTCCAGGCGAAGTTGGGATGCTGGCGCCACCCCTCATTATATGTGCTGCTGTATGGATCGAGGCGCCTCGCATTGGCGATGAAGGCCAACTGCTCCTGGGGTGTGGTAGACTCCCTCATAGCATGGCAGTCCTCCACTAGGTGATTGGAGCTCTCACACCACTGACATTGAGCTACTGGAGGTGTAGCCAAACCTCTGCCCGGAATCAGACTGTTGGGCTGCTTCAATGTCTTCACTAGCTCAGCTACCTGCTGCTCGAGCCCGGATCTGGTTTCCATGGCGTGCACACCACGGTCCCGGGACTGTCTGCCTCGGCTACCCTGTCCCCAAGAATGATCTCTGGCAGCCAATGTATTAATCATCTGAGTCAGCTCGGGCGGAGTCTTGGTGAGAACATCCCCTCCTGGGCATAAAGACTCAATCACCCTCTGGCTATCTGGGGAGAGAGCGCTGTAGAAGTTCCCCACAGTGAATGCATCACTGAAGCCATGATGGGGGCACTGCCAGAAATAGCCCATATACCGCTCCCAAGCATCACGAAGTGACTCATCTGGCTCCTGGCGGAAGTGGGTGATCTCCCGCTAAATCTCTGTAGTCTTCGATGCCGGATAGTACCTGTGCACGAACTTGTCAGCCAGATCGTCCCAAGAGGTGATGGACAATGGGGGCTGGGTCTCCAACCACCTCTTAGCATTCCCCGCAAGAGAATGGGGGAAGAGATGAAGGCGGATCGCATCATCGGGGACACCATTCAGCTTGAACCCGTTCGTCAGCTGCAGAAAACAGGAAAGATGCACCCTGGCCTCCTCATTCTTCAAGCCATGGAACTGGATAGAAGATGTGATGAGCTGAATCCAGCATGGCTTGATCTCAAAGTTGTTTGCTGGAATAGGCGGGTAGAGGATGACCGGGCGGATGTCAGCAACCCGCGGAGTGTAGTAGTACTCCAAGGTGGGACCCGGCTGCGGTGGATGATGAGCTCCATGATCCTGGGGTATGGGGTTGTTCCCCAGGACCTGATTCACCGGGGGAACCTGCTGTGGATTCCCCTGGTGTTGGTTGTAGTCTCCGTCCATCCCGTGCTCTTCTTCAGAATCGCTGCTCAGGTGGCCGTCTATGCGCTCTTCCGTAGCCAGTCTAGCTCGCTGTTGTCTCCTGAGCTGGCGATAGGTGCGGTCAATCTCTGGATTCAACGGCAGTAAACCTCTCGACTGGCTACGGGTCATGCACTACCTGCACACACTCAAGCAACAAACCCGTGAAGGCACAAGTGGGACAAAGAAAACAAAGCAAAAAAGAAAAAGGCTAAATTAACATAAATCACTTTTCTTCAACAACCTAGCCGTCCCCAGCAACGGCGCCAAAAACTTGACTCGACTCTACTGTCACTCCAGAAATTGACCAAGTGAAACCACTTCCTAAAGCGTAGTATAGCGGGTTAGGTTTATATGTCAACCCGGGTCCTAGATCTGATGACTACTCAGTGAATTCTTGTTATCTAGCAATGAAACTGGAATGCAAGTCTAAACTATCAAACAAACAAAGCAAGTAAACTGTTGTATTCAGGTTAAAGAGGTCACCCGGATATGGTTCCCCCTAGACTGCAGTTAAGCCGGATTGCAATTACCAAGTTCTGTTTCTATGAAAGTTATACTGCGGAAGGTTCTTAAACAGCCTGAAGTCTCGACTAAAGGTCTTCAGACCATCTCAATCTGAATCTCTAGCGGGCGACTAACCTCCACCGGAGTAGACAGATTGAGGCCCTAAGAACAAAACCTCCACTACCGGAGTAAATCCGGTACAGAATAGTGAGTTGGTTCCTCGACTAAAGTCACCAACTCCCTACCTTCAATCAAGGATACTCTATTAACCTAGTCAGATATTCTCATTCTAGGTTAAAGCAGAAACAACAGGAATTTGATCAAGATTCAAGTCATTCAATCATTAAAACCTCAATCGAATATAATCAATCACAGAATCAGTACTTGGGTTCATACAATCAAAGCCTAACATACAAATCTAGGATTCTC